TTTCATATAAATTATATAGCCTTTGGTGTGAAGTTGGCTTCGTTTGTGACGTCATTCTTCGCACTAGATTTACTAGTTTTTCTAGTATTCACTAGCGTGATTCGCCCCATGCATTTGCCACATGTTCTTTGACAAAAAAAAAATAATTTGGGTGAATTACTTCAAAATTGTGTAATAAATATTCTTATAGTAATCCTGTGCGATTTTACAAATGACGTTCCACTAAATGACATGTACCATTTGCCACCATTTTGCGTATTTACGATAATCAGGAATATTCACGAATATTCACAGAAAGTAACATTATTCACAACTCAAAATGCACCAATATTCGTGAATTTGCAAGATTTTTTTCACGAATAAAAAAAACTTCCGAGCCCCTCTAGCATGCACATTGAGTGCACAATTTTCAATTTTGAATAAGGGTGTACAGTTGCATAATGTTCAATTTAAACATTTTCTATAGAGAGTTAAATTCACAAACACACAGAGAGACATTGATATTTTGGTCTAATTGGATTCGATTCGTCGAATGAATAAAAACGATTGCTCGGTTGTTGTTTTTTTTTTGTGTGTCTTATGTGAAAATCAAGTTCAACCTGAAATCGCCGAATATGGTGGTACAAGCACTGGCATGCTACTTGACAACTAAAACCAAATGTACACACATGTCACTTGAATTCGTGCATGTAAATATCATTTCCTTTTACAGACGCATCATAAACATAAGAACATCAACACACACACACACACACACACACTCAAACACACTGTACGATCAATTTGATATTGCATGTTGTGAGAAAAATAAAATAAATGAATCGCATTGATAAACATTTTTTTTCTGTTTGGTTTAAGAGTTATCAAGGAGAAATTCGTTTATTGGGCAATAAAACAATCCAAAAATGAATGTGCAATTTAGCGAGAGAGAAAAAAGGCGAATACAAATTCAGCTAATAAATCCGATGACATGTTCTAAATGTCATTTTAAGTTGGAAAAAGAATGAAATTTGAATATATGAAAAAAGCAACGTTTTAAATTTAAAAAAAAAGTGATCACAGAATGGAAAAGTCGAGAACAAAAAAAAAACCAACCAAATTGAGTTATTGTTGTAAAAAAAAAATCCGTGGGTTTCGGCTTTGGCACAATAATAGATCACCGAAACGAATGAATTTCTACCAGTGCGATTACCATATTGGAAATGTAATCCATTTTTTGATCAAACTCATGGGAATAAGTGCATCGAAAGATGAATCATATATATATAATTGTGTATATGAGAGCATCGTGTAAAATCGTACGACGCCACTCAATTACGAACGAAGAGCAAAAAAAAAAAAAATTGTGAAGTGAGTGAACGCAACGATGTTATTGACACACGACTATAAATAAGGCAATGAGAACATGGTCACGTTTACGCGCGTTTCGAATCTCCTTTTCACTCACTCTCTTTCCCTCTCCCTCTCTCTTCCCCTTTCGTTCTGCGTCTCTTTCTCTTGATTGAGCGCACCTCACACGATTCAGATAAATCACAAATGTTGCACCAATATGAAACAGTTCATAATTCTGACATTTAACGCCATTAATTCTATTTACAAAACGAAAACCAAAAGAGAAAAAAGACCAATCACACATTAACAGCGCATTACGCTTCGGTTCTTTCATTCGATTTGCAATTGAGAACTATATTTGGTATTAATATGTCTCAGGTGAAAGCGGGGTTCATGTAACTACCAAAAAAGTCCATTCACAATGTCAACCAAATAGTCTTGTTTAATTTTGGTTGGTTACTATTCAGTGCACATACACACTCATGCCGAAGCTGAGTATGCACGATGCTGAGAACAAAAAGAAAAACGCGTTTTTCTTTTTTTACGGTTTGACGATTTTTTTTTCTTTCATGACGAATACAATTCTCTTGTTTTGCTGTTGTTGCATTTTAATCATGCTGGTTGATCGGCATGTTAACCGGCACTACAACGAATTTTTTTAATCATATTTATATGTCTCTGAGCGCACCGCTCTTGTTTCTTCTTCATCGTCGTCGGTTTGCGCTGTCGAACTTGTTTGGTGTGACGTCGAAACATTGAATTATGTGTAAAAAAGGTGAACATCTTTTTGGAAGCCAATGTAAATATACGATATTTGAATTTACTGTTGTGAATTTTCATTTTGGACGCAGTAAATTGCCACATTGTTCACTCAAGTGAAAGTTAGTTAAATGTACACGGTTGTTTATGTTTATTCTCTGTCGGTACGTTTATCGTTTGATTTTCACACTTCAGTTGTATTACACGGCTGCAATGCATATTTTCGCATATCAAGCTCACCAAATATTTACACAAAGATAGACGAGTGGGACACATGATATTTGGCATGTAATATATGAATATGACTGTGACCCAAGTCAACATCTAGAACACACTCGATAGTAATTTATAAAATAGATTATGTCTAATAAATGTGTATAAATAACGGTAAATTTAAAAATAAAATCACACACACATGAGTTTCCATTTGGAAATCAGCTAGACGCAATTACGTCTCAAAAGACGGGCATAAAGGAGATAGCACAAATCAAACTTGAAACGATTTTAGTGTTAGCACAGTTGCTATACGCTTTTGGCTTTTTGATATATTATGATTGATTCAGTGTACGCATCGAATGCAATGGTGTCTGGTGCAATTAAAATAAGCAATATTCTTTCATTATCTTTGTTTATATCCTTTTTTCGACGTACTTTCAATTTTAAACAACAAGATTTGATTATACATTTCATACAAGTTTTCATTTATGTATTTATATTCGACATTTTGTGTCGTCGAATGCACACGTGCTGAACTGCAGTGCTTAATTGTTAATTTTGGCAAACGTACATAGTTTTTTTTAAATCTCAATTTCGTTTACGTTCAGCACAAAAAGAAAGATGCAAAAACAAAAAAAAAATCAATCGACAGTGCAATGACTTCGACACAGTCATTCATTTTTATAGGTGCTTTTTTTAGATCTAAGTTCGTCATAACCCATTGAATGCAACATTTACTGAAAATTATTCTGTCGAAATTGTTTGTTTCGAACAAAAAACATTTTCAAAAATTAGTTGATTCAAACTATACACCTACGAAAAAAATGGAAATTCCATTTTTTTACAGTTTTCATTTCTGTTCCGCGTTTTATTTCATTTTTGTAGTCATGTTGATTTGGTGTATGTGCGCTTGACTTTCATTTGCCGGAAATATCTGTTTTTCCCTTGAATTTCGTCGTTGGCAGACATTTGGATGTCGTATTTTCAAATGCGAACATCATCTGCCGATACAGTCGACATGAATTACTGTATTTCGGTCAATAACAGCAAATTCTCAATTAAATGTATGTGTGTATGCATTCATTTCGAAATTGGATTGCATAAAACGAAAGCGCCATAAGACAATTCGATCATGCATTTTTATATTGGGCATGCGCGCGCGTGTGCACCGACAAAGAGGAAATATGGACGTGTACATTGTGCAATCGTATATATCAGTGACTGTTTGTTTCTTTTCTTCATTATATACGCAATTGGAAACATTTTGTTTTATTGCAAAATACAAAACATATATAGCGAATGCGCAACATTATAGCCAATGAAAACGCAGAAGAAGACAAACCAAACGGAACTTGTGATAAAAATCGTAATCTATTTGCGAATTATGATTTGAAAAAAAAAAAATTGGGTGAGGGTAAACCGATGGTGAATATGCGTGTGTAAAATGATGCGTAAACGATTTCATAAGCTTTGAATGCGCATTGTTTTTGTATTCGTTTGCTTTCTTTTTTTGCGATCTTTGTGCTTTGTAGCTGTTACCATTTTGTTTGTGATGAAGGCACATAATAATAATTTCTAATTTTACCACAAATCAATGGAAACGAAGCGACTCCATTCAACAAGTGGCCATTCCGAACGAATTAAGAATAAATCTCTTTTTACTTTTAAAGCAAAGTGTTTTCGCAGCATTTCTACCATGATTAAGGAGTGCCCGCATTTATAAGAAAAAAATAGAAATACCAAAAAAATGTCCAATAGTTATATGCATGTATTGATGATATTACGTTGCATTCTAACTGATGGAAATTCCAAAATAAAAATGAAATTCCATCAGGAGAGAGCGAGAGATGTGAAGCTGAGCTCTTAGTCTCGCTTGTTCAACTGACATTTATTCATCACAATCACGAAATGTAAACAAAAAAAGTCTGTATGACATGAAACTCAGCACACAAGCAAAATTGCTATTTACAATTTTTTTTTCTTCATGAAATACGTTTTTTTTAAACCACGTCTTGCGATTAAGTAATAATTATAAATGCAAAGTGTGTTTTTGTAATTGCCAAATAACGCAAAAATGACTTAATTTCAAATAAATTCAAGACATTTAATCTAAATTCATTGGGTACAAAAATTCTTCGTGCTAATTGGAAATTATCGCGTCGGTTATATGCATGACTGTGGTGAATGGCTGTGGTGTTATCAATAAGATATCATTCCATTGTTTGCACAAATGAATGAAATTCAGCAAACATTTAGCCATGCACAAGGTCGTATTAAATACATTCATATGCATGAATGAAGAAGTGCAAAAGAATGGCGGAATGAAAGGATTGAAAATCATGGTGAAAATAGATTCAGACGTCTATGCCTTGAAATAAAACTGGTATGGTGAGTTGTTGTATTTTTGTGTGTATGTCCGATGATACTGTCGATAAAAATTTGAACCAACAAAATTCTTGATGAAATGTTGCAGAGTAACACGCGCTAGTAACATGAGCGTGAGTGAGAATGTTTATTTTCGGTTTTTCTTTTGTTTAGATAAGTGCATTTATCGACACAACAAAGTAATCTTTATATATTTGGTTCATATGTAGCTTGATCATTTTTTTTTCAGACGCTTGAATACTTTATTGTACATGTGAGCAAACAAAATGAAAAAATACCGAAATTTCATGTGTTTAAATATAAATTACCTCTTCGGTTAATTCAACGTTGCTGCTAAAACCGCTGGTCGAATTTTTACAATCATCCGATGAGTTTCGATCGTCATCGTCACCCTCTGATTCCAATTTAACGCGAACATTTTTAAAGTCATCGGTTGTATTTTCTATTTGGTGCGATGCTGTGGCCGTGGTTTCGATGATCGTTTCGTTGTCAGTGTTTGGTTCGGTTTTCGTTGCATTTGAAAAATATGCCGACCATTCAATGACTTGGCTTAGATTAAATGTTGGTGATTCGTTGTGACGTAACATTCCATACAACTGATTATTTGGCCGATTTATGGCGTTATCATTGCTCGTACTGGCCGACGATAATGCACCAATTTCGGCATCAATGTCATTAAACGGTCGCAATGGATCGAATAGATTCTCATCGAATAAATCTTGTGGTTCATCTTTCAATGGTAGACCCGCATACAATTGACCGATATTCCATGTTTCATTGCTTCGGGCACCGTTTCGATCATTCGTATTGCCATCGCCATAATCATTGAGATCAGCCAAATTTTGTTCAAACACCGATACACCATCGGAAAAGTGGTTCGCATTTATCGTGAATAAATCAGCAAAATCGGACACAGGAACATTAAAATCAGTCGCGTTCCCGGTTTGTTGAAGTTCATTCGAAATCTGTGTTTTTTTTTTCAATTGTGAAGTCAAGTGGATGGACAGAAGAAATGAAAGAAAGAGAAAAAACAAATTGTCATTGTGACGGTTTCTAATATCAAAAATGAGTTTGCACTGGTGTATGATGAATTCAATGTTTTCAAACCATGACACCAGCTAAATAAAAAAAATGGTTTTTGTGTGTGTGTGTGTGTGTGTGTGTCGTTATTACCTGTGCCGGTTGATGATTTGACATCGGAAGTGAGGTGTTGGAGTCGATGGTTGAAGTTGGCGCAATCGGAACACTTGACAACGAGATCTGTTCATTTTGTACATTTAGCAAATACGTTTGCACATCGTACGATGAATAATGGTTGGTTTGTCGATCAAATCGCACCAAATCTTCAATTAATGGTATCAACGCCTTTCGATTTGAGTATGGAAAATCAGTGAGTGGTGCGGCTCGCAATTCCAATTGCCAGCCATCACCGTTTTGCAGTGCCAATTGTGATTCCCAGCCGTAGCCAATGTAATTCTCCGGATCAACACGCAACAAACTTAGTGTCAACGCCAATTGCAGCAAATGACGTGCATACGATTTTTTCAACGAAATCATTTTTGAATGAAGTTGATTTTCACCTGTCTACGTTTTTATGTGCTTTAATCGAGATTATACCGTTTAATCTTTTCAGTTACGGTTTTTTGGGTTGTTATTTATTATTATTTTTAATTTACGTTGTTCCGAGTTATATTTTTCTCTCTTTATATTATATAGGGTTTTAACGAGTTTTAGCAAAATCGTAGAAAAATCTTATAAAAATTATGTTACGATTAGTATCACGTTGGAAACACTTGTATTTATGTTTCAAATATAAACTCTTTTTTTTAACAAAAAAAAGAAGAACAAAAAGGTGAAAACTATTTAACGCTCAGAATACTATGAGTAAATGATTATTCTTAATAACGAGAATTTAAGTTTAATTTTTATTAAGTACGTTTTTTGCGCTTTTCTTCGATTTAGAAAAATAAAATTTGAAAATCAGTACGTAAATATGTCTTTTGTAGTTAAATTATTTAATGTTTTTTTTTTCTTCTTCACAATGTATATTCGAATGCATGAGCTTTGAGTGTTGTTGTTGTTGTTTTTTTCGTTTATTTTCTTTATAAGATAGATCACTTGAACGTAATAAAATGTAGACAACATAAACAAAATGATAAAACCGAGTTTTAGTTGATTTGGACGCGCGGCGCGAACAAATTTTGAATTACAGAAAGAAAATTATCGAAAATAAGTCTTACACTTTTTCGGGCGACGCATTTTCGTGTGCGCAGCCCAAATTCATCACAGCTGATTTATGCACATAATTTCCATTTTAAAAGACATTTAGATACGTTGTGGCCGGTCGCACCGTCGACCGAACCAAAATCAAAAACAATCAGTTTTGTTGTCAACAGACTTTGTTGATCAGAAAAATTGTTGCCGTTCAAACAAAGCAACTCGTATCGACAGAAGACGGGAGAGAAGAAAAAAACTCGCTTTACAATACGTCGAAACGGCTTAGATGCAAACACGCAAACTTTGTTGATGCTATTTCGTTCTCACTCTCGTTCACTTAAACACTCGCACTCACGCTTGTTTCCGATGAATCACTTTTTGTTTTTGAATGTCATTTCACAATTTTGTTTAATATTTTGCACATCTATTTTTATACACGCTTGAATTTTTTTTTCTTTGTTTTTCAAATGTTTCAGATCACAATATATATGCATATGCAAAAATTTCAATATTTATGAGTTTAATTTTCTCGTGTGTTCTTTTTTTGGTTCGTTTTTGGTGCTGGAAAATCGGCCGTTCAACCGTTCGCTTGTCGATTTGGATTTTCAATTTTGACACATAAACGCATCAAGTTCCAGCATGTCACATACGTTCGCGATAATTTCTAGCTGTTGCGTTGTTGCAACTGCTACTGCCAGCTCGTGTGCATTTAATAAAACTGGCATACATGAATTGATAGTGTGTGGATGTTTGTTTGTAGTGTTGTTAAACCCTTCTGTCATAAACAGTGACACAACACAAAATATAGACACTTCACCAGATGACTTTGTTTCTATGCGAAATGAATGTGTGTTCTTTTCTATTTCTGTTATTTGCATACGCACTGCACTTTTAATTTCTCATTCTCGGTTCACAATCACAGACTCTAAATTGAATGCTTACTCATTTACTCGTGCATTCGACAAATTAACTGTCAAATGAATTTCGACTTTTTGGTTTGTGACATAAAAACCAAAGTTTATTGTGTTTTTTTCGGTTGGTGCGTGTCTTTTTCTGCCGCTTCAATCACTGATATCGATGTAGTGTGAACACGATTGCCTTAAAAACACAACTTTTTTTTCTCTTCTTCTTTCGTTCACTTAAAAACGACGACGACAGGCACACAATAGCCAAAGCACTTCGCCACAGGTTTAACAAGCCGTCGAAGTAACTAGAATTTGTGTGTACTTTATTTACGTAAGCATGATTGTTACTAATTTCTTGTCTTGCTTCTCTTTTCCGTTTCACTTTGGCTTTTGGTTGTATTTAAACGCGGCGAACGCGCGAGCCGTTCGCGAACACACAAAATTAATTTATCGTATGTTCTGTGGTTCAAATCGCAGTTTTGTTGTTTTCTTTCTCTTTCGCTCGATTCCAATTTACCGACAATTTTGTTTTTTTTTCCCTGTGTTAACACAAAATTTCGACAAAGCCAGCCGTTCGAAATGTGAAATAGTCCACCATTTAATTGAATAAAATGTCAAATGTCTCTTCTTCTTTTTGGTTTAAATACAACCACTGCAAAAACTGTCAATATTCTTATAGGAAAATCGAAGAAATCACACACATTTTTTTGTTTTGTATCGCACTTTATTGGCGATTTGTCGATTTTGACAACTCGTGCACAAGTTCATGTGAAGCGATCGGAACAAACTAAACGAATGAATTCAAGTTGGTATTTGATATGATGTGTCAGAAGCAACAGTAAAACGCTTTGTGTGTTCGGTGTGCATATGTGTGTGTAGTGGTGCTGTATAAGCGGGTTCACACACGCATTTCGGCTACATTGTTTGTCATTCGCTTCGTTGTGCCGTTCAGTGATGTGTGCACGCGTATGTGTGCCTTCATGAATCGTATGATGCAGTTATCATACAATTACGTGGTTGATTCGCATGGCGGATGTGACAGTGTATTGGTACGGTTACGGCTGTTGCTGCTGTTTTTGTTGTTGTGAAGTCGTACCAACATTCATATAAAAACGTATAACAAACGTTGACAGCTTCTTCAACAAAACGTCTATTTTCATTCACGCCGTACTGTACCTTTTTTTCGGTGTTTTCTTTATTGCCCGAAAGCAGGCAACACTATCACAAAATACATTCATATCAGACCGCTAATTCGGTTACATCGGCCACAAATTTACACATCATTTTCGGAAACAGTGAGAAAATATCATAATTTTTAATTAATGGCCACATTCGTTGCCAATGCAGTTTTTTTTTTCGTTCACACATATCTGACACCAAATTATTTTATTTCGACCGAAATGAATTTTTATGGAAATAAAATGAGTCAGCGCTATAATTATATTATTCTTATTTGTTGATTTGTGTTTCGCATTTCATCATTGAAAATCATGATTTTATCGGCTTAGATTTGTTTTCCTTAAAAGTCCTGTGCAACAAACCCATTTATTGTTAGTCAATGTTTGCATCGAGACATAATTAATTTGGATTTAAATGGAAATGATGCCGACGGCATTTTATTTTGTCCATTTAAAATGTTAATCAAATATTTTTGCCTATTGCGTTCATGACACATACGCACGAACGTATTTTACAATTAGGTGATGTTATTGTTTTTGGATGTTCGATATAAAAAAAAAACGATACACACCTAGAGTGAACGACGGTGACGGTGTTAATCGTTCGTGTGCAATGCAATGCGCTCGAGTATAAATTTAGTGAATGATTCTTGACACAAATTCTCCTTAAATGTAGAATCACAACACCAAGAAAATGAAGCACATCAAACCTGTCGCGATTTTGCACACGCTGCAAGCATACACATGTAATCATTTAAATGTGATAATTTATATTAAAATGAATTTGTGTGTTTGTATGGTTTCGAAAAGTAAATCTCTTTTGATTTTCGTTCTGGGCACACAAAACAAACACAAAATGAATTATATTTGATTTTAAATGCGGCAAATTACTTCTAATTATACAATTTGGAACAAAAACAACGATGAAAAATAGGAAACCAGCCAAAAAAATTAGGAGAGAAAAATCATACGCATCACTGTTACACACTTTCACTTGAATGCCAAGTAGATTTAGATTATTCTCTTACGCCCTGACACCAAAACGCTGAATTAAAGTGATTTATTTCTGGAGACTATTTATTTATAATTATTTTTTTTTGTGATCTCGATCGTAGCATATGCAGATATATTATAGTTGATGATATCAAAGAGATAATTTTAACACGCGGCTCTCAGATTTGACGAATGTTTAAAACCAATTTGAAAATCAACATATCAAATCATTAATTTGAAAATTTTCAATGAAAAATCCACGAATAATTTGATTTGAAGTGAAAATTTTAAAAGGAAGGTCAAATTTCTATTACAAAAAAGAAGCATTCAAAGAGAAAAAGAAAATGTTTCCATTTCTCGGGTTCTGCTTTCAGTCGAGAGAGATAAATTCTTATCTTTACATTTTCAGTCAAACAACGAAAACATTCGAGTTTTTTCGCATAAAACTATATCGACGAGTTCAATAATAACTGTTTTAATAAATAAAAGAGACGACATTAGAATTAAAAACACTTACTTTGTTGATGTATTTACAACCGCAACCGGATTTATTGCATCCGCAAATTCCGGTTTCAAATTTCCAATCACCGTTCTTCGTGTCTTCCATCGAAAAATTGGATGGATTTAGTTCTGGTTCAGCGGGTAGCATCATTTCGGTTAGATTTGTCATGCCAGGTATATCAATCGTTGCCGGTGAATCGAAATGCGGCGATAACGATTGCATTCGTGGCAAGTCAACTTCCATCATCTTGTCTTAATTTACTTATTCCTGCAAGAATACTGTGAATAAAAAAAGACATTGAAATATGATGTGTGTCTAGTTGATTGCCATAAAATTGATTGAAAGTAATCTGGTCGTATAACTTTGTTTCAATTGGTCAATATTTTCTATACTTCTCAGATTTAAAGTCAATTGAATCAACCGACGCCCGAACATTTGTAAATTTAATTTCATCGAGCCAAATTGGAGTATTTGGCACCAATTCAAATTTTAGCGACGCGATCTATTGGAAACTCGCCTCTTACTCAAATTGGACATGAATACTTCAAAGCTCACATTTTCAGCGGTTCATATGTTGTTTAATTTTCGATGATCGCTGAACTCTGTCCAACTGCCTGAACGAAAATGTATCATATCAACGCTAGCGACACACATAAACGTTTATTTATTCGCATTCACAATCAGCGAAGACATTTTACAACGTTCTTAAACTGATGCCAATTCACCGGTTATTGGACTGTAACATGCGATCGGCCAGTGACCACATTCAAAGTAGAATCAGAAATCAAGGTTAAAATAGATGTTTGATGATCGTTAAATTCAGGTCCGCTTAACGGTTGCCATCACCGCATTAAAACTTGTTTCACAATCACCTAACACAAACCATCAATCGATCGTAAAAACAAAAGAAAATTTCTTCGAATACATTCTTACGCACTGTAAACATGAAAAATCATGCTTGGCAATGACTTTGATCAAGTACGTTGATTCTTTTACCAAAAAAAAAAGTGAATAAATTGTGCCACGAAAAT